ATTCATAACAGATTTAGGATTGATTTGTAACAATAAAATACTATAACAACAACAACATACCCAGTATTATCCCCCACTATAGGGTTTGGGGAGAATAATGTATAGGTAGACCTTACCCCTACCTTGTGAGGATAGAGAGGTTGTTTCCAATAGACCCTCGGCTCAGAAAAGCATAAGCACCACATTAATGAAAATATAGACAAAAAGGGACAGTACCAAAAAGCTATATAAAAGCAGAATAAAAACAACAAGACACAGTAAGGTGATTAACAATGAAAGAAAACAACGGTTAGTCATAAAAACCTACTACTAACATAAAGCGAGACTGCGTGCTAATATTACTGTTATGAACACTCTAGACTACCTACTCTAGTGCCCTACTCCTCGACCTCCATACATTCCTATCAAGGGTTATGTCCTCGGTCAGCTGAAGTTGTACCATGTCTTGCCTAATCACCTTTCCCCACCTCTTCTTTCGCCAACCTCTACGTCTCTGTAGGCCCTCCAATATCAACCTCTCACACCTCCTCACCGGAGCGTCTGTGCTCCTCCTCCTCACGTGACCAAACCACCTAAGTCGCGCTTCCTACATCTGATCCTCAATAGAGGTCACACCTGCCTCGCAACAATGAAATATTTCTATAAATAGGTTCATTGATGAACCTATTAAAGACATTCTGAAACAAGGAAGAAACGTTCCTTTATAATATTATCATTCTCTTCTATTATGTCCTAGTTAATTACATAGTTCTTATTATATTATTTTTATTTCATAATACGTTATCAACATGCAGCTCTAACCAAATTCATTATCTCTAAGTTGTGCTTATTCTCTTTCTCAGAACAAGGTATATTTCTTTTAAACTTATTCTGGTGCTACTGCTATGCGTAATAGAGTAAAAGGAGGATAATAGTTACATCTGCTACTGGATAGTCCCATCACCAATATTTGCTTGGTACCATTATACTATTTATCAGTTGAAAATAAATCAGTAACTAGACACATTCTCCAGGCTAATATACTTAATAAATAATAGAGAATTTTCATAAAGCACTATCTTTTAGTAGTAATTAACATACCGTTTGTTATATAACGGATTATAAATACTTTTTTGTGGTTATAAGATGTATTTGATGTATGTAAGTTATTGTATCCATGAATACAGTAGCAAAAATAGGCGTGAATCAGGGAAGTCCAGCTAATCAGTTGTTGTATTCGAGTGTATTCGACTGTATTCATGGAGTGAAACATGAGATACAACTGGACAGATTATTGTATTCGACTTTATTAATGGCGTAAAATAGGGGATTACACTGTTTTTAAGACGGAAAGTAAATCAATTAACATAATAGACTCCTAATATAACTCAACAAACTCAATTATAACACACAAATTTTGTATTTTCAGTTATAAAAAAGATTCTCAACCGAAAAATAACCCAAAAACATAGCAATCTTCAGAGAAATTATATAAAACATCTGAATACATAAATTATATTAATTAAAAAAAACATATGAATACATTCATGGCATATAGCTAGACGGTGAATACAATGAAATACATAGAATACAGCGGGATACATTGAAATACAATGAAAAAAAGACAGTGAATACAATGAAATACATGGAATACAACGAGATACATTGAATTACAATGGAAAAAAACAATGAAATACATGAAAATTCATTGAAATATATTAACAGAAAATCAAGTTGCTCAGCCTCAAAACTCCGTCGTCTTTGTTCAAGAACAAACCCTAATTTCCGGAGAATCCGTCGTTCATCGGAAGCCGGTAGTGAAAAGGGTTCCCAAATAGGTCGTTGGCTCAGATAGTGTTGAAGAGGAAGATCAGGGTTCCCAAATTACGCTGTTTCTTCAGATTCTTATAAGGCTTTCAGAAACTCAATGATTGGGATTGGAGCAGTTATTCTTGTTCTCGTTGTACTACTGGTGGTTAATCCCAATCTGGAGAAGCACTTCATTGAAGCTAGAGAAGCACTTCATTCGGGAGACAAAGAAGACAAGATAGACTAATAGGTCCACTTTGGTAAACGTCAATCCCAATCTGACCGATATAAGTTGCTTGAGAAATCTTTGAAAATGCGTCGCCTTGGTCCGGAGATGGTGCCGGAGTCGTTCAAAATAGACTAATTGATAAAGAGGAAACTTACTGCTTTCATTATTGAATAGCGTATCAAAGTAAAGAGAGAAAGAAAATAGTGTAACTGAATAGCGTATTTAATGGCTTAGGGGTAGGAGGTAAACAAAATTAAATATTTTGCTATAAATATTAAAAGGTATTTATAGAATATAATTTTTTTGAATTGTATTTATTTTAAAATAAATAAGGCCTGCATGTTTTCCATTAACAATTATATGCAGGCCTGCATGTTTTCCATTTTCCCTTCACTAAGCATACGTCCAAACATTTCTTAATTGTTGTGAATATGGTGGTCAAATTGATACTCGTATTATTATGGGATAATCAGTTATAGTACAAATGGATCATTGTTTTAAATTAATTTGTGAATTGCTTAGAACAATTAGATTAAATCACTTTTAACATTATGGTATGAGAATAAGTAGCTGAAAAAGGATATAGATTGGAATGCATCATCATTATCTTATTTAGATTCTTGTATAAATTAATATGAACTGGAGGTTCAAAAAATAATTCATTTGCAAAGTATTACAAATCAATTGCCAGATGCATTTACCAATCTAACAAGAATTACTAAATCTCATATTTCAGCTGCAAATGCTCCAATTTGAGTTGATGTCCCGGTAGGACAATCTGTTAAAGTAAATGAGCCTAAGTCACACTTAAAACGTGGTAAACCAATCGGTTCAATGATTGAAAAATCCTCAAAAAAGAAAAGGGACAAATGATCAAGATGGTCATAATATGGAGGTAGTTTCTCAAGAAGAGCCCCGAGACATAACAATTGATAAAACCTCAGGAGAGGTTCAGGTACCTAATAATGTTGAAAATGAAGAGATATTGATAAATTATGTCTCAACTTGAAAAAGATGGAATTGAAATGATATAGTTGTCGATAATGTTTTGTTACTATTGAAGTAATGCAATAAGATAAGGATCTTGAACCGAAATCTATCGATGAATGTAGATGGCGAAATGATCGGCCAAAATAGAAAGACACTATCCAAAAAGAATTGACTTTACTTGAAGAACGTGAAATTTTTAGATCTATAGCCCGAACACATGAAGGTGTAAAGCCAGTGGGGTACAAATAATTTTTTGTGCGAAAAAAAAATGAAAAAAATGAAGTCGTAAGATATAAAGCACGACTTGTGACATAAGAATTTTCACAACGACCTTTATGTGGAGACATATTCTTCTGTAATGGATGCAATGACATTCAGGTATCTTATCAGTCTAGTAATTCATGAAAAATTTGATATGCATCTTATGGATGTTGTCACGACCTATTTATATGGTTCATTGAATAACGAAATTATTATGAAAATACCTGAAAGATTCAAAGTGCCTGAAACATATAAAGATTCCTGAGAAACTTGTTCGATAAAGCTTCAGAAATCTTTATACGTATTGAAGTAATTAGGGCGCATGTGGTATAATCACCTTAGTGAATACCTATTGAAAGAATGGTACAAGAATGACCCAATTTGTCCTTTATAAAAGGATCTGGATCTGATTGTCATAATAGCTGTGTATGTTGATGACTTGAATATCATCGGAACTCCTGAAGAGCTTCCAAAGGCAGTAGAGTGTTTGAAGAAAGAATTTGAAATGAAAGATTTTAGAAAGATAAAATCTTATTTTGGCTTACAAATTGAACATTTGAAAAATAGAATATTTGCCCATCAATCAATGTACACCAAAATTATTTTGAAGCGCTTTTATATAGATAAAGCACATCCATTGAGTATCTCGATGGTTGTAAAATCGCTTGACATAAATAAGGATCTATTTCGTCCTCGTGAAAATAATGAAGAACTTCTAATGCTGAAATACCATATCTTAGTGCAACTGGGGCATTAATGTATCTTGCTAATAATTCTTGATCAGATATAATTTTCTCTATAAGTTTGTTAGCAAGATTTAGTTCTTCTTTAATACAAAGAAATTGGAATGGTATTAAGCATCTACAGATATCTCGTAGGGACCACTAATATGTGATTATTTTATTCAAATGAATTCAGTTTATAACTGATTGGTTATGCAGATACAGGATATTTGCTTGACCCTCATAAAGGTCGATCTCAAACAGGATATTTATTCACATGTGGAGGTATTGTCATATCATGGAGTTTAACAAAATAAATTATGATTGCTACTTCTTCAAATCATGCGGAGATAATAGTCATTCATAAAGTGAGTCGAGAATGTGTTTGATTGAGATCAATAAATCAATATATCGCTATATATATTAAAAGAGACAGAACAAAACATATTTCACCAAAATTCGTTTTCACGTATGATATTCAATAGAATGGTGAATTAGATGTTTAATAAATTCGTTCAAAGTGATAATTTGGCAGATTTGTTCACTAAAGCATTGCCAACATCAACATTTGAGAAGTTGAGATACATGATTGGAATGCATCGTCTCCGAGATATCAAATAAAGTTTTTATCAAGGGGAGAAATACATGTTGTACTCTTTTTCCCTTAACCAAAGTTTTGTCCCATTTGGGTTTCCCTGGTAAGGTTTTTAATGAGGCAACTCTTAATGCGTATTACAAGATATGTGTAATCTTTTTCCTTCACTAGGCTTTTTTCCACTGGGTCTTTCTTAGGAAGGTTTTAATGAGACACATTATTTGTTAATGGACATCCAAGATGAAGTGTTATAAGCAACGATGGATGTTTGAATTAGTTTTGTATTTGTATAGGGTAAAATATGTTATATTAAATGATCGCATGAGGAAGTGATACGTAGAGCCAAAAACAGAAGATAGTTGAAACCGAAAGCAATGATCCTGTCTATTACCGGAGAGAATGATACTCATAAAGATGAAATAAATGTCTGCCACCCAGTAGCATTTAATAAAGAATATTCTCCGGCATTAAGTACATTGCCCCTTACAAGAAATATGGCATTCACCTCAACTATACACCCCTTGGTTAGGACATTAGTTGAGATATGAGAAACATACAGTTAAGCTACACCTGCCCAGAACATACTACTGCGCCGGGGAAATCGTAGATGGGCAGATTATAACCCAACATGTAGAATCTCTGGTAAAAACACGTTGTTTAAGCAGACTAGACTTAACATAACAATAGCTTAAGTAGGGATGTGGGAATCTGAGCATGCTGAAACAAGTAGCTCAGACACCCCTGGGACATGGGCCAGATTTTAAGCATCACAAGCCTCAAAGTGGTCAATATCTAAATGCACTCGGTTCTCAACTGGCTTCACAATATGCCTGTTACAAGTAAATATATAAGCAAGCAATTGCAGAGTCGGAAACTTATACAAGGAGATTCAAGAAAATACTAGAATGTCACAGTTGGGATTCGAAGCTGTGATCTAAAAGCAAGTGTCAAAAAGCCCTTTAACACTACACTAGGGGATTGAACAATTTATATATAACAAAAAAAGATTTGTTTTTGCCTCATTTGCCAGTACAATTTTAATCACCAAGGAGATTCAATTGAACCCCCTTGCCTATATTTAGCTTTGCCCATGTGAGCAACCAAACAAGGAAAGATGGGTACGCAACTAATCAAATTAGGAAAAAGAGAAGCGCATAAGTAAATTATTCACTCAAAATCAATTCCCACAAGTCCTAAATAGAGGTGACCACTTCACCAGCCAACTTACTTAGCCCACAACATCTTAATATGGAATAGCTCAAGCAACCTACGTCCAGATTAAGGTGAGTAAGTTTCCAACAGAGTGGACCTTAGAACTGAAGAGAGTCTCAGGACACCTGCGTCGGAAATAATAGCTGTGCGCGGGAAATCAGCTCATCTCTCCAAGGAAGATTTCCTAGGATATAAGGGCAGTTATAGATAGAGGGCATAAAGGGCTTATCAAGCAAACAAACAGAGATCAGAAAGAAAGCATTAAGATCAAATCTGATAGTTTCAAGATTTCAAGTGCTTTCAGCTACTTCTGCTCCTCCCACTAGTGCTCCACTAGTTTCCCATCCAGATGCTTTCATATTTGACTTAGCTGGAACATAGAAGGACTGACATCTAAGTCACTCTCTTTTTTTGTCCGCTCTATCTTTACTCACCACCCAACTTAAATCGGTCCCCTATTACGGTTTCAATCTCTGTTGACATAGCAAAACCTAAGTAGCTTACCTATATCGCTCAATCGAAAAACCCCTTACACATAAATGGCACAGGGAATATGACCACCGATGCTGAGTAATGACCTAGAGTTAGACTGCCGATGTGTGCCCACCCATGAGGGCACTTGCAATGAAAACAAATTTTGTTCCATTTTCTTTCCTCCAAGATACGAGGCATCTTACATGAATATTTACCTTTTCAAGAAAGACCTATATGCAGCTCGCGCACCACGGTTATTCTACCTTACCTGCATCTTCCTAGCCAATATATGCATTGGTAACTCTACCAATCAAGAGTAATGAGAAGAAATCAGCTATTTTTGTGCATATTAGAATTTGAACCCTTCTCTCTTATGATGTTCCAGCTTCATTGATGCTAGACCATACCCAAGAGTGTTCACATTATTCACTGGCTACAACAAATATATCGACTGCACAGACAAGTTCGGAGATATTCAGTATGAGAATACTATTGGAAGTTGAGAAATGGAGTAAAGCACAAAGATACCTCACAAACATAAAAGGTAAAATCCATACTGAAATTCATCAACGAAAACTATCAAAACGTTTGTACAATGAAGAAGAGAGGACCAACTAAGCAGGTATAACAACAAGAATTTACAAAGCTGAAATCAGACAAAAGCAATTAATTCCATTAAAGTGAACTACATGAAGCTTGACAACTAACCATAATTCATTCATTCATCCAGATTTCTAAATCTTTCTTAATCCAAATATCAAACACAACAATGTCAAATAATCCATAAACCTCGATCAGTGAGATTTGAAGGCGACAACACAAATTATACGCCCCTCAAAATAGATTATTAGAAAAATTGGAAGGGTTGACTTAGCTTCTGTTTTGGACCTATTACTACATCAGTTCATCAGAGTTGAAATCATTCAAAATAACAGCAAAGGAAATATCTTTCGGTCATTACAAAGCGGAAACAATGAACACTATGCCTGAAAAAGGGATTTCAAAACGGGCGAAGATGCAGACTTAGTAACAAAGTCCTCACCAGATTAACACAAAATTACGTTTTTCTCCTCAAGCACTTCCTAAGCTTCTTCAATTTATGCTTGTTCATCTTCCTCTTCCTCTTTTTCTTCACACTATCCGCCCAAATCTTTACTGAGTCTTGGTTTTCATCGTTCTCGGATTTAACCAATTCATTTGGAGAAATAGGGTTAAGAAAAAACCCATTTGGGTCAAGAAAAAGACCAAAAGAAAAACTTGGGTAAAGATTCAATTTTGAATCCACTGTTTCTCTTTGGAGAAAAAAGGGTATCTGATTATGTCTGCTGCAAGGTGGATGGGCCAAGATTTGTGGTGTAGAACTGAGAATTGCTGGTTCGGATTTATTAAGGTTCTTGAGAATTCTTGATCGAAATTGGTTTCTGAGAGCTTTTCGGAGAATTGAAGCCATTTGGATTAACAATTGTTACAGCATTGAACCACCAAAAAAAGGAAAAATATATCACCTAGGGCTTTGGGAGATTTGTGCAAAAAAGGAAAAAGAAAGGAAAAGTTCAAAAATAAATGTTTTGCCCCCATGCAGGATCGAACTACAGACCTTCAGTTTACAAGACTGACGCTCTACCACTGAGCTATAGGGGCTTTGTGCTGTTCATCGAAATACTTATTTTATAAATTCTAATTTGTGTCTATAAATTGAAACTAAACAATTCTAATTTCTTAACGTTGGAAGAGAATGTAAGTTATTAAGGCCTCTATATTATTCTAAATCACATTAAGTATAGGAGGTTTCCACTTATCTTTGTCGCTCATAAAGATCAGTTCCTCTTATATCGTGTTAAATTGGATAAAAGGGTAAACTAAGGGATTTTAGGCCTTTATGGCTTTTTATAATGTTGAATTTAATAAAATGTAAAAAGCCTTTATGAGTCGTATTTGCAGTAAATCAAATTTACTCACATCTAATATTTAATTATACCAAATCATATAATATGATATAGTTAAGTGAAAATACATACTTAATTAACCATAACCAAGTGATACAAGTGAATGTAAAAGACATTTGTCATATATTCATTGTGATTAGTAAAACAGGCTAGGAGTAAAGGTTATTTTACTGGGCGAGGCACAAGCCGAGCTACCCGCAGCTCTTGCTCAAATAATGTATTTGGTGTTTTAAATTTATTAAATATGTATAAATATTAAATTTAGAATCCATTCATTAACACTTGAAATCATCATTCTAAAATTCAGAACTCATAGGGTTGAAATCCTAGCTCCGCCTTATGATTTGTGGTTACTGATTACAGATTGCTCTATACAACAAACTAAATGTTACTATAATACATCCAAGTTTAGTACAAAGAACTTATAATTCTTCTCAAGTAGGAGTAATTAATTGGTTCAAGCTAAGTTAGTATACTTTGGAGCTTTACATTTGAATACATATTATTCATTCGTGCTCTGGTTTGAAGTTTCTGTAGGCTACAACTGCATAAAAAGGATCAGATGAAGATGATAACAACCCTGTCAACTGCATTATCCAATTCAAAGGCCATTGATTTTGTGGAGCCGCACCATCTTTTTCAGTTGGTAATTTGCGTATCACCTCTGGCTGCGTAAATCCTTGAACGCACTGGAAATATTGCACCACAAGTTGCACCCTACCATATCCTGTACTGTCCCTCCATGCACTAATTGCTTTCTCATAGAACAGTCTATTACTGAAGCTTACAATAAACACGCCTCCTGGTTTTAGACCACGAAATACCTCGGCAAACACCTGAAAATTTAATTAATACTATTATAGATCGTTTGGTTAATTTGTGAGCAAGTTGTATAGGAATTTTGATGCAAGATACTCAGTGTATTTTCACAAGTACGGTCTAGGCAAGAACTATCATATTATTAAAAATTATTGGAGCGTTGTATTTGTTATCAGCAGTGACAAATCCAGAATTTTCATCAAGGGGTATCAAAATATAAATAGTTAGATATATCGAAAAGTCAAGGAGAGTCAACATATAGTAAATATACAAAAAAATAAAAAAAAATTATCTAGAAAAATAGTGTAATTTTGACACCCCTTGCTTCAATGTGGCTCCGCCACGGGTTATCAGATGATTGGGATCATGTTTATATCGTGTTAAATTATAGATATTGGTTTATCATCTAAAACATGTGTTTGGTTTTGAATTTTATAGATGAATTCGTAAGAATTATTACTCACCCATGACCTAGATTAATAAATCCTGATGTTGAAAAATTAAGATGATAGATGCTAAAATAGGCCACATAAATAAAGCTTGTACTCGTCTTACAAATATGTAAGTTCTATTAAAAACAATTTAGTTCTCATAATCTTAATCAATAGTTTAAACAAAGAAATAATACCCACGGCTTAATGATCAACTAAACTAGTAGTAATAGTCTCAAGAGAATTTTTTTCATTTATGGGATTCGACACAAGTATTGTTAATATGTAGTATATTGTTATTTCACATTAAAAAGTCAATATAATACAAAGCACCAATATGCAACATAATTATTAATATAATGATCAATATATAAACTAAGCCTCGTCTTGTTAATGCAAAGTTTAGTAGTAATAATATATCTGACGATCAATTCCTTAGTCATGTTACGATTTGCTAACATACGCTTCACCAATAACATATTTCGCTTATCGAGAGTCAAATTACGTGAACTTTGACCAATATTTTAAAATATATTTTTTATCATATTGACATGAGAAAAATTGTAATTTATAGTACTTTTCCAATAGTTTTTGATTACCTAGAGTTTAATTTTAAAATACTGAATTGAACTAATCCAATTTAACTTTAAAATTTAGTTAAATTAACTCTCGATAAGTAAAATATGTCATCTAATTTGAAACAGAAGGAGTACTACGATTTGGAACTTGTGTGGCTTATAATCAACCACACATTTTGCAACCTGTATGTGGTTGTGGTAACACTTGATTTTATCCCTTCTCGTCCAAATTAGGTGCACAAAATCTTGACAAGTTCGGATTAGCCATCCATTAATCTTTATCATCTAATTAAGGGACCATTTAGGTTAATTAAATTACTGACCTTCTCAGGCTGTTGAAGATATTGCACACTGACTGTACACAAAACAGCATCAAAACTACAATTTTCAAACTCAAGTTTCTGATCTTGATTCAAATCCTTCACAATGAAATAATCCAATCTGGGATTCTTGGCCAACTCTTGAGCATTAAGTCCATGACCCACCACCCTTTTGTACTTCACCTCTTGTGGTAAATGACTGACCCATGAGCTCATAAGGTCAAGAATCTCAAACTCGGGCCTCAAGCGTTCCCTGTAAATATGTGTGTTAAATGGTCGAGTTGGGCTAAATAAGGGCTAATTAAAATGCGGTAAATTTAAAAATAGCCAGATTTATAAGTGGTAATTGAAAAATAGCTACAGTTTCAAAAGTAATTGAAGTTTAGCCATTTTTCATGTAAAGATAAATTTGAACAAAATCAAAATCAGGGAAATATTCTGGCATAATCTGGAGTTCCAGCATAATATACTTGTCCAGCATAATATGCTGGAAGTTCATACACAAGTGTACCAATCTCCAGTATATTATGCTGAAACTTTCCATGTAGCATCAAAATAGTAGTGATTATTTTTAACGACTTTACAAAAGTTGGCTATTTTTCAATTACCAATTCGAAAACTGGCTAGCCCGCGCTATTTTTACAATTAAAATGGATTGAATCAATAAATGGATCAATCATGCACAACTCACTCGTACCTGTAAAGATTTGTTAAAGAGGAAATGAAACGATCATCAACGTGTGTCACAAATCTTGGGTAAGCATAGAATTCTCTGTCTGGTAAAATGTTAAGTTTGGTTCTTCCTTCTTGACTAAGAACCATACGTTTGATTTTTCCTGCTGTTGATTCTGTTGAATTATCATCTCCATTATAGGCTTTGGGAATTGTTTTGATTTTAGTTGGAAGAGGAAAGAATTGTAAGTTTGATGAATTGGTAAATTGCCATGTTTTTGGAGATATGGTGAACCACATGACTTGTTTGCTTAGAGATGAACATAGAAATCAATTTATGAATTTTTTATTTTTTTTTGGATCTTTTAACATTCACCAGTGGCTGAAATTACTTGTAGGCCCATAGGGAAATTGGACTGGTGGCTGCACGTGGTTTCCAGTAAAAATGAGGCTACTATCTAGGAATTAACTGAATTTTAGTTTTTTAGTTCAGGAGAAAAATATTCTGAGTTGTCCTTAAGTTAAGATTTTTTATTCAAAATTTCATGACAAAATAAGTACTAATTAATCCCTAAATAGCATGCCTAAGAATGACAATTTATGCACTTGCCCCTAGTTTCAACCATTTTACATTCAGCCCCATGATTATTTGCACTAGCTAAAATTTCTTGAAGAATTAATCAAATAGCTCGACTCAACCATTTAAACTAAAAAAATAACTTACAAATGTTACTAATATATATATATAGAGAGAGAGAGAGAATTTATGTATAATATGTGTACAGTCAATATATGCTAGTAAGGAAAAGTAAACAATAAAATCGGCTGGCTATATTTGGGTAAAGAATCAAATTGTTTTATCTTAGTTTCTCATTCATAGCTCCTTCGGCTCCGTTTTCTTTTTTTTTAGTTTTCCACCCGGTGTTCGGTACCCGTATTGGAGTCCGACTATATCTGAATTCGCATCGTGTAAGGCCTCATTCGGGGGGAAGCGCTCCCTACCAAAGATTTTTTCATACTCAGGGCTCGAACCCGAATCATCGGCTCCGTTGCTACTACTATACTCCAACTTAGTGCTCTCCACTACTTGTCTAGATTTGAACTATGGAAATAGAAGGTAGCATTATATATGCACTACAAATTTTTGTATATAGTCTGTTTATTTCATTCTTTAAATGGACGGAAAAAATTAAATCTGGTATGCGTGGTGCATTAACCATTTTTTTATTTAGTTAAGAAGTGTAAAAAAGGAAAAACGAAACTGTAATTTTCTGCTTGTGTATTTGATGAATGAAGAAAAACTTGTTCTTCTCAAATGTACAATGCTAAACATATATACAGAAGAAAAGCTTTAGGGTAACCTCCTGCATTAGCAAGTGGCCAAGTTGTACATTAAAGGAATACAAAGATGGAACAAATAATTAAATAAAAAAAGTATGGAAAAACTACCTAAAATATAGTGTAGCATGTGATGTACACTAAATTGTGTATTCTGAACAAGGCAGTGGCACAAGTGGGCCGGTTGAGCAGGCCTAATTGTGTAGACCACAATTAGGCCCAAAAATATTAAACTGTCCAAATGCCAATTAGGCCCAATGCCCCTCAACCCGTCCAAATACCTTAAATCCGTCCAACATACCAAACACCACTCAAATCAAAACTTTCTGCCTCAAACCCTTCGAGAACTTTCGATTCCAACACCCCCTTCAAGATGGAGGGGGTAGACGACACACCCAGGTTGCCCAAATGATCACGATGAAGAGGTC